CAAAATTCAAAACAAATCAAACCAAAACCATAATAAACTGTATGTTTTAACCCAATAGATGGTGCTGCAATACATTATTATTGATGGTTTCAATCTTAGGTAAGAGATTTTTAAAAATTGAGTCAAAAAATTAATAAACATTTTTTTACAAAAACTTGTGCATTTGCCCTTTGCTATAAAATTCATTGCCTATATCATCACAATTAATAAATGACAGGGTCACACATTTGACAATGTAGGAATATTTATTCAAGAATTTGTTGTTGTTTTTTTTTTGCATGGTTCAATCAATAAGATTTTATCAAGAAGAAGTTTTCACATAACTTAAAAGTATACATAACTCAAGCCCCCTAGTGGCACAGCTTGATGTCTGTGGACTTATACCGCTAGAAACCAGGTTTCGATACCTCTGGTGGGCAGAGCTTTATAGCTTTATGCTTAACTAGAAAACAAACGAACATAAGTCTAAATTCTAATCTAATGACCAAATATACATAAAAAAAATGTTGATTTTGTGAAATACTAGGAAAAGGATAGACATTCTTTATACATATAGAGCCATTGCAACATGTATTACTTTGTACATTAGTTTTAATTCACAGTTGTAGACCATCACAAGAATAATGCATTCTTCGTCATTTGTCTTCTAATTTTCTTGTTAAACACTTGTTGGACTAGTAATGATGTTAATGCCAACTAACTTTGGTCTGATGGACCTTATACTAATGTGGTTAAAACTTGCTTTTTCACTTCTGTTCCTTACATTCTTAGGAGTTGTTGAATATTACACACTTTATTATGTCCACAGTATGTTTATAATTACATATCTGCCTTACCACATATTCAGCTCGTAAAATTTACTTTCTTTACTCTTTAAATATATGTATAAGGTTGTTTGCTTACTGTATTAACACTTCCTTTTAAAATCAAATTTACAATTTGGATCTGAAACTTATTATCACAAACACTTGACAAAGAAAGTTTGAAAATGTGGTTTTAGTATTTATCATTTTCAAAAGGTGTGATAACCTGGATCTTATACCTTTTTCATTACATGTGATTGGGAAAAGGTTTGACAATATGAATCTGGGAAATGTCTTTAAAAATACATTATTTCTAAGATGTTAGCTGTGTATAAAGTACATACAAGACAACTTGTCATGAAATTAGTTGCGATAGTTTTGGTACTTATCAAAACGGTTGTAAATATCAATGATAGTGAAGATATTAATGATACATTATCTCCTAAGATGTTAGCTGTGTATAAAGTACATACAAGACAACTTGTCATGAAATTAGTTGCGATAGTTTTGGTACTTATCAAGATGGTTGTAAATATCAATGATAGTGAAGATATTAATGATACATTTTGATTATTATATTTTTCACTTATATTTTGATTTATCATAATATGTACTTCCTATCAATTTTTTGTATAGAACTACCTTCATTAACTTTAGTTACTTTTTAGTTCCTATCTACATAGTTAGCTTACTTTTGATCAGAAGTTGCTGATAATGATGTTTTTTTAACAGCTACTTACTTCCAGACAAATCTAAAAACAGCAAACAAAAGACTCCTGTACTGAAAAAGACTTGCAACCCTAAATGGAATCACACTTTTGTGTATGATGATGTCACTCTAGATGAATTGAAAGAAAGGTGTCTCGAACTGACTGTTTGGGATTATGATAAAATCACAAGTAATGATTTCCTAGGTGGTGTTAGACTCAGTGCAGGGACTGGTAAGTCTACTGCACCATATTCTAATGTGTCTGAATCACATTTCATTTGTCTGTTTCTTTTTAGGATAAGTTGTTTTTAGCTATTTTAGTAAAACAAGTAATTGGAGATTAACAGGAACTCTGGTTGTGAAAGATCTTTTGAAAAATCGTAAGTGCTGTGCTACAAAGAAGCATTAGAATATGTCATAATTACCTTCAGTTTTTTTAGTAAGATTTCTCATAAGTGAAAACAAAATAATATTGAAAGTTAAAAATTAAACAAACAGGTTAAGTCCTTACAAGATTATTTGTAAATTGAATGAAGCCATGGATCTTTGTTCAAATGTATCGCACACTTTAGATAAGAAGCAGTATTTTGTACGTACATATTCAGAACTTGTGAAAGTGCAGTATTTACTATAACTTGAAATAAATGTTAATATAAATATGTCCTTAAAAATGGATTTAATGTTAAGATATATCATGTTTACAATTAAAATACGAGTTAGTTAGATTTATAAAAAAACAAGCACATAATTATTTTTTAATGAAATCAGGCTTCTTGCAGTTAAATGTAATGTATCACAAGTATTGTCTGAATCAAATATCTATATATGGATAGAAATTTGATAGCATTGTTGTATTTCAAGTATTTTTCTCTGAATCCTGGCTTGCTTTCCACTTTACTAGAATCTGTTCAGTTGTTTTTAGGATATTATAAAAATTTAAGATTCTCCTGTTATTTAACAAGCTGCACTGATCTTTTCTAGTTTTCTTTAATTCCTAAGTTAAACCCAATTTTGAATTCTCTTGCATTTTTTGACGAGTCACAAGACTATTAATTTGGGTTCTGTGCTGGTCATCCAGTCATCTTGCTCTTTTCTTGTGGTAACAGAGCTGTACCTTCATGTTGATCACCCAGTAGGACTTTCTTCTTGTGATAACACAGCTGAACTTTCTTGTTGATCATCCAGTGGTACTTACTTCTTGCTTTTTTCTTATGATAACATAGCTGGACTTCCTTGTTGATCATTTAATGGTACTTACTTCTTGCTCTTTCTTATGATAACATAGCTGGACTTCCTTGTTGATCATCTAGTGGTACGTCTTTCTCTTTTCTTGTGATAACACAGCTGGACTTCCTTGTTGATCACCCAGTAGGACTTGCTTCTTGCGATAACACAGCTGAACTTTCTTGTTGATCATCCAGTGGTACTTACTTCTTGTTCTTTACTTGTGATAACATAGCTAGATCTCCTTGTTGATCATCTAGTGGTACGTCTTTCTCTTTTTTTGTGATAACATAGCTGGACTTCCTTGTTGATCGTCTAGTGGTACTTACTTCTTGTTCTTTACTTGTGATAACATAGCTAGATCTCCTTGTTGATCATCTAATGGTACGTCTTTCACTTTTCTTGTGATAACACGGCTGGACTTCCTTGTTGATCACCCAGTAGGATTTGCTTCTTGCTCTCTTTAATTCTGTTCACATAGGTGGACCTATTTATTCTGTTACTTTAACTGGTTTATCCAATGGGACTTCTTGCCTTTTTTAATTCTTTTAACATAACTAGTCTAATTTATTCTGCTATTATGCTGCTCAAAAAATTGCTTACTCCCACTTGTTTTCCATACAATTAAGAGTTGTTTTTAGAAGATAACTTGTTTAAAATGTTAACTTTTATTGAAATATTATCCAGTAAACTCTTAAAACCTTTTATAGGATAGCAAATGCATTTTGTTTGGTGACTTAGAAACAAACAATGTAAAGCAAACTTGTTTTCTGACTCTGTGCTATGATTTTGTCATATATTTGCTTAAATGTGTAACGTTTGTTATACAAGCCTAGATGACAATTATTTGTTAAAAGTGTTGAATTTACCTAACCAACATTTGTAATGAGTGTGACTAAACAGTGTACCAGAGATTTGAAGTTTTTGAAATATTGATTTGTTACAACTACATATGGGCAATATGTTAAAAAAAGTTTAGATTTTGACCACTAGAGAGCACCACAAATTAATATAAATTTTTTAAAATTTCATGACTTATCTTTAGAGGTTAATAAGATATGCAAGTATATGTATACTTATGAAGTACTTAAGTATATATATATATACAATTTAAGAACCTAAATGATAAGCTGTATTTATTAACCTTTGAAGGACAGGTTTCATTAGTGGGTGTTTTTCACAATGCTTCCACATTTTATGCAGTTGTTAAATTGCTGTCTTCAGCTTTGCAACTTAAAACATAGTACTTTGTTGAACCAACCAGCCATGTTTTATCGGTATCTGCCAAAAAATAAAAATAAGTGAAAAGTTTTAATTTTTATCATTGAAAAGAAACATGCACATCAATGGTTATTTTTAACTTGTCAAAGGCTGATGTAGGTAACCAAACTTGGTATATTTAGAGGATGAAAGTCATGATATGTTCTGGCTCTGAATGTTAGGAAAATATAAACTGAAAATTCAGAAAGCAATAATTAGTGATTACCTGGATCCTTGTACAGATAACAATGTAAAACCATTGAAGGAGATATGTAAGAGGTTAAAATATACATGTGATCAACATCACTATAAGTGTTACTATTTCGAATTTAATATGTTATCAAGCTATAAAATTTCAGAACCTTTAAGTAGTGCTTATACTTCTTAATTGTGTATTAGTAAAAGGTTCTAATGACATCAAACATGTCTTTTTTAAGAACCTTGTACATAAAATATATTACAAACGAGAAAGAAATGCCACCAAAAGACTTTGGTTTACTAAGATATGCAGAACAATTGAATTTATACTTTTTTTAATATGTAAGCCTTTGGAAGGAAGGTTTTCACAAAAGACTGTGAAGTTAGAACAGTTAACAAGTCAAAATACATTAGTTTTTAGTACCACTAATGGTGCACTTTGATTTTTTATTTTTTTTTCTGTGTTTGTAAATATTTTATCCTAAAAATGTTCATCAGAGTAAAGAAAAATATACCACCTTCAAACATGTTTATCATTTTAGTTTATATTATTGAAATACAATTGAATAAAAAAAAAATCCTGTAACATAATTCAGCTATTGGCTAAATATCACTGTAATTAGCAGAGAGACTAACTTGATGTGGTGCTTTTTTGTCAATAATTCACTGAATCGGCCATGTAGGAATAGATAGACATTCTTTTTCTACCATACTATAAATGCTGGAGGAATCCCACACACTACAAAAATTTGAAAATCCAAAAAACAGCCAAAGCGAGATAGGTACTTGGCACAAAATACTTAATGATGCTACATTAACAGTGGCAAAATTTTATTTTATTGGATACTTTTTCTATCTCACTTTAGATGTTTTTGTTATTTTTAAATACTCTTCTACTACTTTAGTTAAAAATTCATCAGTTTCTCAAACAGCATAGAAATTACAAATCATGAAACGTAATTCTTTATCTGAAAGCAATTCTGAGTCATAATATGTTGAAAGATTGTAATTATGCAACTCAGTATGATAAGTAATCAAATTTTCAATGTTACAAGAAATATTTTAATGTGTACAAGTGCTTTGAGACACGTACGGATGGATCTAATTAATCTAAAGTTATAATGTTTTATAAATGAAGACAAATCTAGTACACTTTTAGTGTTTAAAAAGCAATTGTTAAAAAGAGTTTGTTTATATTGTGATAAGTTTTTACTGCTTATATCTTGGTGTTAAGTGTTTCAAACTGTGATGCTCTCTAAGGGTAAAACAAACATTCTTTTTGTTTTTATACCTAATTTGACTTTCTTTCAAAAATCAAGTTATTTTTATGTGGCAAGTAATCGTGTCGTAATGATTAAACTGAAGTTGTTTTTTCTTTAATACTACATGGTTTTTTTAAATAACTTCAAACATTTATTAGAGAAAATTTCAAAATTTAGTTTTTCTTTTATTTATGTCCAACTATACAACATTTTTATCCCTACATTTTTAATATTGTTGCGTCATCGAGATCACGTGACTATTCTCACGCCCTCTAGTTTCTAGAACTATCTTGTTCCTTCATGAATGCCCTAGCATTTACTAGATGGGGTAGTCTGGTATATAAAAGAGGGTGACAACGTGACGGGAGAATAATGTAATGTGTACATAGTGAGTAATTTGTTACGTCTCCGTTTGTTAATTGATTTTTCGTAACTTCATTCCGACAAAACTTAAGCGACACAAGTCCTTTCTTAATAAAAACTGGTTTATTCTTTCCGAATATAACTTTACCGATACACTCAACTTCAACAATCGCGCTAAAACAAACGCTATAACAACGAACGTGCTCAATAATACTTCTGACTGCAGATCAATTACTCACTGTCTACACACACACATTACATTATTCTCCCGTTACGTTGTCACCCTCTTTTATATACCAGACTACCCCATCTAGTAAATGCTAGGGCATTCATGAAGGAACAAGATAGTTCTTGACACTAGAGGGCGTGAGAATAGTCACGTGATCTCGATGACGCAACAATATTTTGAACTATAGCG